ACCAGCCTTAATTATCAAATAGTAGTTTGTATTATCCTACATACATACATATGTATGGGGGCTAAACCAGGAATATTCATTTGAAAATGCTGATGTCCTACTCATTTATGAAATGAAAGACAAAATAATGATTTTTATAAACATTATATTCTCATTTATACATATGTAACATAGTTACTTAGACAAATTACTTAGTAATTACTTGTATGTAAGAATACAACGACAAATTATTTATCAGACGCATTACCCCTTACATATTGAAAAAAAGTAACAAAAGCTCTCAAAAAAGCAAAATCGCTACAGCGAAAAAAGTGTTTGAAAAACCGCATAAATTCAAATCCGCATAAAAAAGAACCGCATAAAAAGAGACCTAAGTGTATAAGTTGAAATTTTATAAGTTATTGAACATTAAAAACATTATACCTACATAGATATGTATGCACATATGTGCGTACCTAGTAGATAAAACTGGTCAAAATAGCACGAATCTATTCTTCTGTGCATGAGAATATATACATAATTATATACAAACAAAAGTGTATATACATATGTATGTATATACATATCTGCATGCGTGCATACAATCCTTTACTCGAAATTCTTAGTCGCTGCAATTTTTATCCCATACATTTTTGGCGACCAAACAACGCGTTTGCCTGTCTAATCTGCTTGCCCCATTTGCCTCGCTCGTTTACTCGCCTCATCTGCCTCGCTCGTTTACTCGCCTCGCTCGTCTGCTGCTGCAAATGAGTGCCTCGCTCGCAACGACACCCTCGCGAGGGCAGAGATAATGAGGGCCTCGTTTGCTTGCCGCTCTACTCTTGCGCTGCCCTCGTTTGCTTACTCGCTCGCTGGCTGCTCAGCGCGTGCGCTCGTACTTAACGAGTGCTCGTTTGCAAACAGCCTCGCTTGTTACTCGTGAGTTGCGCTAGCTCAGAGCAAACTAACGAGCGAGCGAGGGGCTAAAATGAGGCAAATCCGAACCCTGATGTTTGCATTGGATTCCCGAACTATACCAAGTTTCAACCACTCATATACTTGGCTCTTTACAACGTTGCGCTCTGATGCAGACAGTCGAGTTGGACTCTCATTGAAGTTAATAAAATCGTCTTTTGGTATTATCTTCAGCTGAATAGGATGTTCAATCGGGCTAACTACTGGATTGTACTCATTAATTAATTTCGTAACGACGCTCTTAAATTGTGGCAAAACATAAATTTCAGGCACCTTCTCTACGATATTGTATACGCATTTAAATTTGTCTTCGTCGTGTATTTGCTTCGTCTTATCCGAGAAAAAGTACCCATTAGTATTAAATTCTAATTGGAATTGTTGGATAAAATCGTAGCATACAATAATTTCGTTGTTTGTTTTGCTATCAGCTGCGACACATCTGCACCTGTGTCTATCAAGCACGAAAAATATTTGTTGCCAATCTGCATTTGCTTACTTCGTTTATCGCTCATTACTACGCTCACCGTTCGCTTCTGATTCTCACAATTCTTCGCAATGTGATCATTGCCGCTGCATTAGAAGCATTTCGTTTCAGCTTTACATTCCGAACGCATGTGTGTGGTTGACCCGCAATTGAAGCAATGTTGTTTACAGACCGCGCGCGGCTCGCCGTCGCCGTCTCTACCCTTTTGCGCATGCTTTGTATAGTTTTGCTTCTGTGATGCGCGGCTGCCGCTCTGCTTGCAACTCATTTGCTGTACAATCTCAAAACGGTCTCTTAGCTCTTTAAATGTTTTGGAACTACAGTATATTTTGCGTAGCTGCACATCCCTCTTTGCACGAAAAACTTGTGCACCTAACCGAAAAAGGCACTTAAGCGAATTTTCTTTACTACTTCAATGAGGAAGGTATCCGAATCCCTATGAAACCAAATAATGGAGAAGCACTTATCACGTAGAAAATAATGCAAGCGAAATTTTTTTTCGAATGGTATCTTATTATCTATATAACTAGAAAAATTGATAGCCATTTCCGTTGTTCTGCGATATGAGTAAAATAAATAAAAGCTTGTAAAATTAGGTAATTGTAGGCCAGTGCAGGTAAACGTAATACTTTCTTTGATAATTGATACTATTTGCAAAATTTTTAAGGCAGCTATCGCCAATGTGCAGGTATGTTGAATGCATCTATCGGAGCAGTTTTCTTATAAATGTTAAAAATAATGTCTCAGATGCGCATTTTGGGGTAGGTATCTTAAATGTGCACTTAAGCATAAAGGCAGCAAAGCAAAATATACTGTATACAATGGGTATTTTAGATCGTCACGTACCTGCAGTCCGTCGACAATGTATCGAACAACTACTTCGTCCTCCACCGACCCTAATGCTGCCAGCTTTCTCATTTGCAGCACATATTCGTGGAAGTTTTCATCGTTCTTCTTTCGCCTTTGCATTAACTTCTGATGTACGTCCGCACTGCTGAACTTCACGTCGAATTCGTCGATTAGCGCTTCACACAGAGATTCGTAGTTAGATACGCTTACTGCTTCCAAGAATAGTTTTGCCGTTCCCTTCATTTTGTTTCGCGCATTCAAGTACTTCTGTTTTTCCGTTAGTTCGTATGCGGCAACATTCTCATTAAAATTCGCCAACAACTTTCCAATTGGAATTGTCACACCATCATAGTACACGATTACGTATGTATAAATGTATACCAATACACCTTACCAATTTTCGACATATAAACCACCTTGTATCGGATTTCTTGGATTTCCATCAGCCTAACACCCTGTGATCGGTCCCGGTTCCGGACTCAGATTTGTCACCAGCGACATCTTGCGGCTTTTATCTGGGTTCTGAACTTGGATTACGATCGGCGACATCTTTTGGCGGAGCAGCAAAGCTTGCGGCAGAGCAGCAGCAAACCATATAGCGGTTCTGGACCGGAGCAACAGCAAACCTTTTGCCGGTTCCAGAACTATACTACTTCTTTGAATCAGAATCTAAGCCTACCCTGCAGAAAAAAATTATCAATTTATAAAACAAAACCTACTTCTAGTTAGCTTTTTTTGGGGAATTTCTATAAAATATGTAACTTGTTGTTAGCTAAAAAAAGCTAACTTGAAGCAAGTGGACAAGTAATGCAGGAGTAAAGCTCGAGATTGTTTTCTTTAAACGCGTTTCTATTTAAATATCCTGCACTTCGCAAATACTTTTTCGAATTGAGCACAAATAAAAGGAAGATCGAAGTTGCATATTATCATTTTGAAGTTATGTCTGACGGTGTTCGAATATGGGACCAGCTAAAGCAGAATATGTAAACAAATATGAAATGTGATAAAATAAATAAAGTAAATAAATAAAAAAGTAAAAAATAAAAAAAAAGTATTTTGTTTTTCCTATTGATATTTTATGCCAA